TATCTATCATCTATCTCACTCTAAAGCTTGTGAATGAGAGAGTATATAACAAAGACTTATAATGCTCCTTAAACGTCAATACCAAATCAAGTTTGCCATGCTTTGTATCAGATACTGGAATAATAAATGTTGTTTAGAAGATTTGCATAAGATTAATAATTAAGGTATGTTGCTACCAGGAAGATATTGAAATGTCAAGGAAGAGACTTGGAAGAAGAATTCACAACAAAAGAATTCACAACAAAAGACTTAGTTCCTTTAAAATGATTTACTGGAGCGTTGTCTAGGTGGTCTGGGTGACTCAGTTGGTTAATAAGCACCTGACTGGCTCAGGTCATGATCTCATGGTTCCTGGGGTCAAGCCTTGCATAGGGCTTTCTGATGTCAGCAGAGCCTTCTCTGAAATCTCTGTCCCCCTCTCTTTTAGCCCCTCCCCAGCTCTCTTTCTTTCTCAAAAATAAACAAACATTAAAGAAATAAATAAAATGTTTTACATTTTGCAATTCTTTTTACAAAATCCTTTGTTTTATGTAATAAACTTACTTTTTTGATGTCTATAATGCATATATTAACATTACCACCATAAGTTTAAAAAAGTTATATCACTGTATTTTTGCATAGTAAAATGTAAATAAGCAAAATATCAATATGAAGTTAACATTTTTGCAAAGGATATAGAAAGGTGTTTTATAATTTGAAAATGTATAGTCATCTCTGAAATAGGGATTTAAAAATATTAATATTTAATTTTTAGTTTTTTAAGTTGAGATTTTTTAATTCTAAAACTTATAAGCTACTTTAAGTGAACTAATTATTATGTTTTGGTAAAAATGTTGGTAGCACAAAGGAAGTAGAAATGCTGGTTCAAAATGCTAACAAAAGTAACACAATAAAATCAGCCACAGAAAGCCTTAGTTTTTGCCTCTTATTTACCATTCAATGGGTACCTCACTGGTAGATTATTACAATTTTCAGAAGACAAATTAGTGTATTAGTTATCAGTGTTATAATTTAGAAAAAATGTTTTTTGAGGGGCACCTGGGTGGCTCAGTCGATTAAGTGTCTGACTTTGGCTTAGGTCATGAGCTCTGCGTTGGGCTCTGGGCTGACAGCTAGCTTGCTTCAGATTCTGTATCTCCCTCTCTCTCTCTCTGACCCTCCCCTGCTCATGCTGTCTCTCTCTCTCTCTCTCTCTCTCTCTCTCTCTGTCTCTCTCTCACACACACAAATAAGAAAAGAAAAAGAAAAACTGTTTTTTGAGATTTTTTTCAAGTGATAATGAAAATTTCCAAATAAATACCAAAGAGAGAGGGCAGTACAATTAAATCTCATGTTCCTATTACCTAGCTTCGGTAACCATCAGCTTTTCATTATTCTTTAGTTAATTTTTTTAAGGTTATTCTTCATGAAGTCTAAAAAAACCCATATAGTCACTGGTAGTAGATTCAGATTCACCAAACCTTTCTGAATCCTAAAAAAAATTTCATCGTCTTCACTCAGTATGATTTAGTTCAAATTTAGTAGACTAATTTCAGGGAAATGGCTTCTTAATGTCAGTTCTCTTTATTTCAAAATCAAAGTTAGAATACCAAGCTGGAGGTAGAGCTACAAATGTACATTGCATTCATCCCAGACATAATTGACTTGTTTTCCTTGTCATAGATGTTGTGAAACTACTGACACATGTAACAACATGAGAATATTTTAAAAATCATTATTGGGGCACCTGGGTGACTCAGTTGGTTGAGAGTTTGACTTTGATGTAAGTCATGATCTCACGGTTTATAGGTTTGAGCCCCACATGGACTTTGCATTGACAGAAGCCTGCAATGAATTCTCTGTCTATCTCTCTTTCTCTCTGACTCTCCCCTGCTTGTGCTCACTCTCTCTGTCTCTCTCTCAAAATTAAACTTTAATTTTTTTATATTATCATGCTAAGTAAAAGAAGTCACACAGAAAAGACTATATACTGAAGGATTCCCATTGTTTATGCTATTCTGAAAGAAAAAAACATTTGGGCAAAAATCAGATCAGTCTTTGCCAGGAACTAGGGAAGAGAGGAGACTGAATGCAAAGGGCTATGATGGGAAAAAGTTTTTGAGATGGAAATACTGTGTTTCTTGACTGTCATGATGTTTACCTGCTTGTACACACTTGTCAAAATTCATTAACCTGATACTTAAGAAGGGAGAATGTTAGTTACTGTATGTAAATTATTATTTTAATTCATCAAGTAAATCTAACTTAAACAAAAATAATAGCATAGCAACATCTAATGGACCAAGGAAAATGAAACTATCATCTTCCTTGATTGGGGTAACACATTATTAGTGAAATTTGAACTGGTTTTGATTTAGGGTAATTACTTCACATTATTTTTTACCAAGCTTATAATCCATTAAAACATCCTATATTTGATGAGTCTTTTTAAATAAATGCAGTACTGTATACTAAACTTTAAATATTCCATCTGATACATTTATTTCTACCACACTGACTTAGGAAGTTCTTTTTTTATTCTACACATTGCTATACAAGACTACCCAAAATTCTGTAAATCTTTATGTCATTCACAAGTTAGTCAACAGGCTTTATTAAAAAAATATTGTTCTTTGTAGAAAAATCACTTTTAATTTGTTTTCGCTTGGTTTATATCAGATTATATAAAACATGTGTTTGCATATGGTAACAGAATCTAAGTAAAATGATGAAATACAGAGGTCCTGAAGATTGGTAAAATATCTTAGTCTTTGTAAGTAAAGTTTATGTTCTGCTGTTATAATCAGTTAATCAGTTCCTTTTTTTTGAAACATTTTAAATCTTTCTTTTTTAAATGCCACTGGTATTAAATTAAATTATATAAATTACCGTGAGGTTCTGTTTCCTTCAGTTCTCTTTACCTTTTTAAGTGTGTGGACATATTTTAAAGAAAAATATCTGGCATTGAATTATTGTGTGCAAAATATATCTTAAATTACCATATATATTTGCTTTGTGTTAATAAAACTCAGTATAGTTAAGTAATTCTTATTTTTAAAAATTGCATATGCTTTTGTTTTTTTTTTTTTTTGAACCTCTGATAATTCTACATTTCTAAATTGTCCTATTGAACACAAACATATAGTCTCTTTCAACTTAAAGGAATTTTTCTTGAATAAATTAGAATTTATATACAAATTTTTGGATTAGTATAGAAATATTTTCAACTATAGAACAAAAAGTGTCTTCCCCCAAACAGATAAAAAGATACATCTTCCATATCACCATCTGTTACTGAGAAACCATGCTGTACTTTTAGATAATTGGGTTTAAATGCTAATATTTTAGAGTTCTCTCTTATAAAATGGTGCAAAAACATTTTAAATAGCATTTTATTCTCAGGAATTTCTACAGATAAATATTTCTCTAGATTTTATAGTCCTTAACAGTTTTTAATTTCTATTTGCTTATGAATTTCAATGATTACATATCCTCCAAGTTTCTCAAAATATAAATATTGTAACACATGAGAAGGAAAAGACAAATTTGAAACCAACCTGCCCCAGTTGCCAGATACTTGAGCTAATAATGTCTTCCTTGATATCTCACTTGTACAGAAATATCTTAACTTTCCGAGAGAGGCATTTGCAGCTGATTTTCTTTTGAGTTTCTGAGGCAAGTAGTCATAGAATGCAAAGCAGTACAAAGTGCAAGAGGAATTCACTTACAGAACTGGATATAATTTAGGGCATGCACACTGAGGTTTGGCTGATCGCAAATGTGCAGATTTATCCATTTCATCTTTCATAATGTCCTCTTTATTATACTACATATGGAAATGTCAATGAAAACTATTAAACTAGAAAATACTTTATGAAAGTCATAAAATGTTGGTTTGCATTACATTTCAATCAAGCATTATGGCTAACCTAAAGCACTGTTCATTATGTCTCTTTTTTTTCTAGTTCAGTTTCTATGACACATGCTGGAAACTGTGAGCATCGAAATGGTCATTTCTACTATACAGTAGTAACCCTTGGGGTGGGAGGAAACCATCTCCTAGTGGTGGCATGATTACTTTAATTCTGAAAAATACCATGGATCATTTTATCTGTAGTATAAGTCATAAAAAGAATGAAAAAATAAAAGCATGAACTCAATTAATAAACAGGAAAGGTGTTCTGACAAAATATTTGAAACAGATCAGAAGTAACAAAATTAAAAAAAAAAATAAATAACTCTAGTGAGTTATTTCTATTATCACAAACTACATGACTCCTTTCAAATTATTTTATAGAAAAATGCATGCTATCCTTTCCTATAGTATTTTCCAAATAATATTATATAAATATCTTGAATTAGTTATGGCTATATTCTAGGAACTAGACATAGATCCTGCTTTTAGGCAGAGTACAATATTATTGAAAAGATACGTCAGGTCCCAAATTTGCTCGAAACATGAATGAGGTGGGAAAGGTCTAAAAGTAACCAATCTACCACAAAATGTCAAGATCAATAGAATTGGGAACTTGGAAGCTAAATTTCAATTTTTAAGAAATAAATTTATATTTGTACATATGTTCTCTATAACTATAAAATTTTATCTACAACAACCACCATAGCAAATGCAGAATTGCAGAACATATGAAATTGGTTAAAAGAATATTGATAAAAAATTAGTAATAGATAATTCCTGAAAACATAGATGGTTTGGGGGCTCCTGGATAGTTCATTTGGTTAAGTGTCTGACTACTGATTTCAGCTCAGGTCATGATCTCCTGGTTTATGAGATCAGCCCAATGTAGGGGGCTTGCTGCTGATTGTGCAGAGCCTGCTTAAGATTCTCTCTCTCTCTGTCTCTCTCTCTGTCTCTGTCTCTCACTCAAAATAAATAACTAAACACACACACAAAAAATAGATGGTTTTATGCATATTAAAAAGTAAAAACATCAAGACATGTTAAATTATAGAGAAATAGGCAATTTTGTATAATCATTTGATTAAAAAGTAGTTTGTCTTACCTCTCCCACCAGTTGCTGAAGAGATGGTGACACTACAGAATATAAACTTGAGTTACCCCTAATGGGACTATGGAGACTAACATAAGCCACGACATTTCTCTGCAGAACCTTCTTGAACTCCTGAAACAAATAAACAAACAAAACATCTTTAACATAAATGAAAGTAACAGAGTTTGTCAGTTATGTATTGAATAAGAAACACTTTCTACTTAAAATCACTATAGTACACAACTGTTTAAAAAAAATCTATTCTATTAGAGCATACAAAGGTCATAAAAGGATTTTAAATAAAGGGCTAAGGAGTTACAAATCATATATGACAAAATATTTTTAACTATATTCCTGAAAAAAGTCCAATTTTAAAAGAAAATGTCCTTAAATAGTTAACATAATGTGAGGTTTAACTTTAGAATACAGTATGGAAAGTTTGCTCTAGCCACAGAACTTAATTTTATAGTTATTGAATGAGAGAACAGACATGGGTAAACTACTTCAGTGATTAATCAGACTAGGCCTTTCCTTTGAACAATGAGCTGTTACATGAAGTGGATTTTTATTCTGAGCAAAATGGGGCACAATACACCTTTGTCCCTGCACATATCACCTGAAATAAAACCTGATACATTTTATGCATATGAGTAGCATATAATGATTTCAGGAAAATAGTTTTTCTACCTCTCTGCTGAACTAGTCCCCAAAACTGAATACCACTAAGCCTATTAATAAGGTGCCACTAAGATGGTCTTCTATTATTTTCTTCCTTTCTTATACAAATATTTAATGACCAATCATCATGGTAACAATTCTAGAGAAACAACCTAAAAACTATTCAACTTCATGTCTTAGGAACTTGCTATCTTCCTCCAACACTATAAAATGGAAGACTATAAGGGCATGTCTACCTAGGAAATCAATAATTTTAAATTATTCCTATTTTAAGTTGAAAATTCAGCTATACCTCTATAAGAGAGGTGAAAAGACGTTTCATTTAAAATGTATATATATATATAGGGGTGCCTGGGTGGCTTAGTCGGTTAAGCATCCGACTTTCGCGTAGGTCATGATCTCGTGGTTCGTGGGTTCGAGCCCCACGTCGGGCTCTGTGCTGACTGCCAGCTCAGAGCCTGGAGCCTGTTTCAGTCTGTGACTCCCTCTCTCTCTGACCCTCCCCTGCTCACGCTGTCTCTCTCTCCTAGAAATAAATAAAAATATTTTTAAAAAATGTATATATATATATATAATATATAGAGATATAATATATAGAGATATATATTATATATATAGAGAGAGAGAGACTGGGGGGGAGAGAGAGAGAGAGAGACAGAGAGAGAATCCCAAGTAGAATCCACACTGTGCAGAGCCCAACATAGGGCTCAAATTTATGAACCAAGAGATCATGCGTGACCTAAACCGAAAGCAAGGGTTGGATGCTTAACCAACTGAGCTACTCAGGCACCCCTAAAATTAGTAAATATTTTAAATGAATGAGAATGATGAACTTAAGCTTAAATACTCTGCTTTACAAATAATATTGTTTTAAAAAAATGTCCCTTAAAAAATGTTGCATAAATGCTGTGGAAAAACAGCTTCTATTTACATACTGCCACATAGATACTGTATACATGTTAGTCCATTTAACAATGGTGAGAACGTCACGTTAGTATATTCCTTGGAAGATCAAGTATTGGAGAAATTAATCTTGCCTAAGAACATGTGTGTTATGGTAGAAACAATTTGAAGCCTGGCTTTTGACTGTAAGATCCACAGTATTCTGTGATAAATGAAGAATCTTGAATAGAAAAAAAACGGTACTTTTCATTTAGTAAATGGTACTATTACATTGAAAAATGGTACTATTTATTTAGTAAAATGTATGATAATTTTCCTCAAGGATCAAGATTAGTATTGAGTCGGGGTGCCTGCGTGGCTCAGTTGGTTAAGAGTCCGACTTTGGCTCAGGTCATGATCTCATGGTTCCTGGGTTCGAGCCCCGCGTCGGGCTCTGTGCTGACAGCTCAGAGCCTGGAGCCTGTTTCAGATTCTGTGTCCCTCTCTCGCTCTGCTCATTCTCTGTCTCTCTCACTCTCTCAAGGATAAATAAACATTAAAAAATTTAAAAAAAAAAGATTAGTATTGAGTCAATTCAATAATAACTATATCAGTATAAATTCCAGTTTTAAGTTTATTGACCAATATCACCTAACCTTTTTAATTACAACTGTGCATTTCAAGGGGCTCTTGTGCAAGCAAAATTAAACAGGGCAATATGACATGTCAACAGGTGCCTTCCTTACTCAGCTTTACTAGGAAATCAATTTAGAGCTGACTTTAGTTGAAAAGACAAAGTTTCATTTTCAGGAGTACTTTGGTAAAAGTAGACAGAATGGAAAAACTAATAGTTTTCTAAATTCCTTCTCAGTCAGGTAGTTATGAAATGGCTTTGTGAACAATATTGTAATAATCTTCTGAGATACAGTAATTTTATATAGTGTACTCTATGAGCCAATAATCAAATCTATATGTTATTCACCATTTTCCTATTCACCATTTTCTTTACTCATATATCTTTGCCTACCTAGTCATGGAAAAAGTAAGAAAGTGACTGAATGAATAATTAGTTGTCAAACATGCATATACACATAAATATGTTAGAACAGAGGGTCGTACTCTTTTTGAACATTAAGAGCCTCTTTTGACATAAAATGCTTTTTCCTATGAAGGTTTTTTAGTTGTATCTGATGATAGAGAAAATAGAAAACTACCAAAAGATAAAGTGTTTTCAGTAAAGCTTACAAATAAATTTATATTTTATTAAGCACAAAAGTCTACTTAATTTGAAAATATAATTGATCACATACATGTAAGGCCATACTATTGATTCAACTTACTGGCAATGATGCTTGATGCTCAAATAAATTCAAAGATTTCTTGCAATAAACTTCCCCATGCATAGGGGCTCAGGATATATAAGTTTAGAACTACTGTAGTTGGACAAACCCACTTTGAGAAAGTAGCTTAGGAATATACATGTTAATTTAGGATTAACATAAATTAATTTTGAAAGTTACTAATTAGATATGGAGAAGGCTGTATGATATGGTGGAATAAATTTTTGGAGTTTGAAAAGAATCTTGAAGATACTTTTTAAAAAATGCACCTTACTGTTGCAAGAAAACTAAAAATTTTGTTTTCTTTATGATAAAAAATTTTAAAAACTAAAATTAGCCTAATTCACAAATATATTTCCCAAATTGCATCTTAACTTGTTTATGTCTTTGAAGTAAGTAATTTGGAATAGAAGTTTGAGAAGTTGGTTTAGCAATTACATTTGCCAGCTTACTAAATATTGTTCAATTTAAAAAGGCCCTTTCAACAATGGACTTTGTTCATTTCAATTAGGTCTTTGGAATATGGAATAAACATTCACACAACTAATTTGAGTATAGAAAAGTATTCTAATTTGCAATGTGAATATCTTGATAAATTTTACACTAAAAGTCTTCTACTTTTAAGACTCCTTGTTCTTCAAATTAAAAAAGATGCTTGCTATTTTCTTTTGTGTATCTTTTGATATTTTCTTTATAGTCAATAGACATTTTATCTTTGTTGTGAGTACTTAAATAAAAGAGTGAAATAGTAGTAAAACTTCCCATTAGATATTTAGGATTTTTTTTTCTCCAAAGCTGAGGCAGCAACAAACTAGAATATCAAATTGTTTTATTTTCCTAGATAAAATTGTATAGATTTTTCCTACATTTTTCATTAAATTTCTGTTTTGAAAAATTCACAAAGTAAGTAGAATATCTAAGCATTTTACAATATCTTCATTGTTTTTAATATGGCATCAATCCAATTTTTGGTTGTTATATCCCACTGAAAATATGGTGCATCTGGGGCACCTGAGTGGCTCAGTTGCTTAAGCATCCGACTTCAGCTCCGGTCATGATCTTGTGGTTCATGGGCTTGAGCCCCTCATTGGGCTCTGTGCTGACAGCTCAGAGCCAGGAGCCTGGTTCGGATTCTTTGTCTCCCTCTCTCTGCCCGTCTCCTGCTCAGTGCTCTGTGTCTCTCTCTCTGGGTCTCAGAAATGAACATTAAAAATAATACAGTTCATCTGTGAAACAGAGATATATCAAAAGCTTTGAAATTTAAATATTCCAGTGGTGTTCTAACTATGATCCGTTGCATGCTAGATTTTATTTGGATAAAGGTTTCCTAAGGTAGTTTAGATATGTAGATGGGTTAATAGGTAGATTTGCAGAAAAGAAGAGACAGAGAGATAGAGGTATAAGAATAGGAGGATTGAGGGGCACCTGGGTGGCTCAGTCAGTTAAGCATCTGACTTCAGCTCAGGTCGTTATCTCATGGTCCATGAGTTTGAGAGTTTGAGCCCCATGTGGGACTCTGTGCTGACAGCTCAGAACCTGGAGCTGCTTCAAATTCTGTGTCTCTTTCTCTCTCTCTGCCCCTCCCCCACTTGCTCTCTCTCTCTCTTTTTCTCTCTCTGTCTCTCTCTTTCTCTCTTTCAAAAATAGATAATTAAACAAAAAGAATAGGAGGATTGAGTAGAGGGAGGAAGGAAGAAAGGGAAGAAGAAAGGAAGCCAATATTTTGAGACAAATCTACATTTTGTAGAGGTATGGTATAATGCTAGAGTAGTAGACATTTAACATAAGAGATCATTTCCTAATTCCAGATAATTGCTAAGAAGTTAAAAAAAAAAGTAATTGTATGCATCACCTGATCTTTTCTTGTCCAGTAACTGTCAACCTATCTAAGGAGAAACACAGTAACCAGGTAAACACAATTGTGGGTCTATCAGAGTCTTTAGGTCTAGTAGCAACAAGAGTAAGGTAGTTGCAGGTCATACATAATTCACTGTAATCTAATCCTCCTTCATTCTTACAGGTGATCTCAACAAATTAGCAGCTGGGACAACTTGGTTGAGAGGCACATTCTTATACCTGGCTTCGACAATTTTATTTTGTCAACTTGAGTCAAAAAGTGAGAGCGAGTGCACGAGAGCCAGAAGAGCATGTTAATCCATGTACATTTACCTCTCCCCATTCATATGAGCCAATATTGCCAAAAGCTGTTCCTCCCCATGAACAGAAAACAATTGTGCGGTCTGGTCTCCACCCTCTCTTAACTCTTAACATCAAGGCTCGGATAAAAGCTGTGATTATTGCAGTGCTGCTGGCCCATTCTTGTCCATAATAACTGTATGCAGTGTGATGGTGGCTGCCAACTACGATATACCGATCTGGAAATAGAAGGAAACAAGAGCCATTAACACAAAATATAAACCCTAACAATAAATTTAATGACATTTACATAATCCTATTGCACAACTGAGCAACAATTATGTAAAACTGTTCTAATAATTAAGACTAACATTTTTCACCCACTGTCTTGATTCACACATCTGTGTATATCAAAGCAGAGGCAGCTGCTGAACTCAATTATGATTCCAAAGCTTAGATCCATATTACTGTCCTTTACAACATGTATATTAATTAATGAAGTATACAAATATGCCAGAGTGAAACCTTTATCTAACATTTTTCCAGAATCATAGTGGGAAGTGGCCTGTAAACAATGTGTGTGTGTTCAGTAAATATTAATGAACTATTAATACATATGAGGGAGCACTTATCAGTAGCTGTAATATTAAATAATGTGGTAGTCATATATGGATTTTGAAATAAATGTAGTTATTAGGAAATTAATTACAGCTTCCAACTTATAGTTTTAGCTCCCCTTCTTTCTCTAAAAAAAGAATACATCATCAAAAGTCTAGCTACTGAAAAGTTTTCTTTTTCTCTCCTCCCCTCCCCTCCTCTCCTCTCCTCTCCTCTCCATGAAACTGGGATCATGACCTAAGTTGAAATCTAGAGTCAGGTACTCAGTCAACTGAGCTACCCAGGCATCCCTTAAAAGTTTTTTCACATATTTCATATAGTAATACAAAATCCATTAGATACAACAAAAAAAAATCTGCACGACCCATGGACAGGACTGTTCAATGTACATTAGTGACTATTAGTGATTATTATTACTAACAAGGTAGAATAAAAGCATATCTCTAGAGTTTCCTCTAATTTTGTTACCGAAACTGAAATGTTTTGTTACCAAAACTGTAACTGAATGTTATTGGTATAGAACTAAATTTATTTCACTAAATAGTCCTATACATCCATGTAAAAGCTTCCTTTACTGAGTGTCACATTATTCAGAGATGTCCCATACCAGACTTTGAAGCCAGCCCCTTGGGTTTGCATCTAGTCTATTCAATTTGCTAGATGTATGACCTTGGGAAGCTCGTATAAGCTCTTTATGCCTTAATTTCTTCAAGTATAAAATGAAAATACAGGGGCGCCTGGGTGGCTTAGTCGGTTAAGCGTCCGACTTTCGCTTAGGTCATGATCTCGCGGTTCGTGGGTTCGAGCCCGCGTCAGGCTCTGTGCTGACTGCCAGCTCAGAGCCTGGAGCCTGTTTCAGAGTCTGTGACTCCCTCTCTCTCTGACCCTCCCCTGCTCACGCTGTCTCTCTCTCTCTCCTAGAAATAAATAAAACTTAAAAAAATGTTTTAAAAAAAATAAAATGAAAATACATATGGTACATACATTATTCAGTTGCTTTGAGTTTTAAATGAGTCACCATTTGTAAGGCATTTTTAATAGTACCTGTCACATGAGGACTACCTATGTGTGGAACAAAGGAATTACTCCTTTACTTTGTGGCATCAAAATGCTATTTGATGGGAAATCACTATGTGATGCTATTTTAGTTTTCTATACTGATTTTTGAACCAGAAATAACTTTGATCTGTTAATGTTTTATCAAAATTTAATTAATGGTATATAAGAATGGCTGTAAAGGTTGAAACCCAGGGAATTTATTCACTCATCTCCTAGATATGTGTGAAAGTTCTGCTTGGGATTATCTGCATTCTAGATAAACCATATATAAAAGCCTTCATACGAATTGACAATTGTTTCTAATTTTCAGAGTCATTAAATAAGAAAATCATGTGAATGAGCAACCAATATTTTTGTGTAGGATTCAAACAAACAAAATTTGAGAAGTTTTACATATTATACACTGAAGAATACTACTGGCAAATTGATTTGAAGAGATTGATTTTTTTCTGTATTGAATTTCAATTAGGAAAGCTATTTTACCCTAAAGCTAGTATAGTTTTGTACAATTTGGTTTTTCCATAAAAACTAGCAAATGCACCAATGATGATAAATATTTCTGGTGCTTCCGATAGAGATTCTGATGATGAAAATATGTTGAAATAGTTGAAATGCAACAGTAACAATTTCCAAATCCATTTATATATTCTATTGAAAGACATTAAAATCAGAGGTTGTTCACCATTGTTACTGTAAGGAATTCAGAGAAAATGTGTACCTTCCATAAATTTTGTAAGAGTTGGCTGGCAAGAAACTTGAGAATATGAACTTGATCTCAAAAATTTCTGGGTTATCAATTATGGGGTCAATTTGGCTAAAGTCATGGAGAAAAGTAATTCTCCAAGGATAACTTGAGTAAATATCCCAACCATATTAACAAAAGTGGCACAGGTGTGTTACATAGACCGCTATATTCTAGCCTGTATACTAAGCACATCAGATAATAGTATGTGGCTCAAACTCACAATGTATTTGGAAGTGTTGCTATAGTAATCTCTTAATTAATATATGTGCCAATTAGTTTTACTTTTTTAGCCTGCATAACATCATCTGAAGATGTCATAAGCATCCCAAAAGCAAGGTGGAAAATAATTGAAAATTAACCAGGTGATTGTTTTCATAAGCATCTTCAAAATCTAAAGCCATGTAAACATTAGCAGAACTCTCAGTGGACCAAGGGTCAGAGACAGAACATAGTTTTACACTGAAAGACTAGATTCTGGAATTAAAAACTTTTATTTTTGGGGGTGCCTGGGTGGCTCAGTCAGTTAAGTGTCCGACTTCGGCTCAGGTCATGATCTCATGGTTTATGGGTTCGTGCCCTGCATCAGGCTCTGTGCTAACAGCTCAGAACCTGGAGCCTGCTTCAGACTCTGCATCTCCCTCTCTCTTTGACCCTCCCCTATTCATGCTATCTCTCTCTCTCTCAAAAATAAATAAAACATTAAAAAAAACTTTCATTTTTTTAAAAAGACACCATTAAAACTAAAATATTTTCTTTCTAAAGAAGCCTTTTTTTGATAAAAGTAAAAACTCCAGTGGTGTTATAGAGAAGAACAATAAAAAAACAAAATAACATCCCAAACTATTGGTTTTTGTAGATTTTCTTCATGAGACACATGCCAATTGAATGAATCTAAACTCTGTTTTCTCATTTTGGGTTTTTTTTTTCCCCCTTACACTCCTTACTTTGATTTATTTTTTTAAGAGAATAAGAAAGAGAATGAAGACCTACTTCATGGTTTCATATTGACTCACTCTTAGAGTGGCCTGTGTGAACTAGTTACATCTAAAGTAGGTCATTTAATTATTCTATTACATTGTTATAGAGTATTTTCTTGTAATGGTTCATATAAAGCATAGATTATAAACACTTAGTACTACTTACCTGGAGATATCAAGCCCTTTAAATATCCAACAACATTAGTAACTGTTTTGAATTTTGTAACCGTCTGAATTTGTATGCTGACAATTCTCTCATCTGAAAAAAAAATTAAGATATTGTTCTCCTACATTCTGTTATTTTTTCTTAAAATGGTCAAAGTGATTTATCTCATATCATCAACAAAAGAATTACAAACCACTAGATTTTTCTAGAAAACAAAAGTTACACTTTTCGACAAGTATCTAGTCCATATTTTGTGTAGACTCTATTTTAGGTACTAGTTATACAATGATGACTAAGTTTCAATTGCTGGCCTCACAGAACTTCAGAGCTATAAATAAGCAATTCTAAACTTCACATTCAGAGCTATAGTGAGGTTATACATGAGAGCACACAGAAGACTTCAGGGAGAAGTGGAAAACTCATATTTAAAAGAAATATGTATTGGATAAAGATATTTCCAAAAAAAAAAAGTAAGTACTTTTATAGCTTCAGAAAAAGAAAATGTAGAAGGTAACTTTTCCTGTATGACTCACTATTCTGTTATCCCACTAAAACCTGTAAAGCATTACAGAAATTAAAAGAATAAAGATTTCTAAGGCTGTACATATTTCCACATATTTCAGGCTTCATGTTCACCTATGTTGGTTGGTTTCTTCCCTCTATTCTAAGTCACACACTACTGCTTTGCCTTTTGTGAGTTCTTGTATCTATGCTTGATATTCAAACATTTTGATAACAAGGCAAAGACAACTTGGTAGATACTTTAGTCACAGTCCTAAAGCTGTCTTTGAAGGCCTTTATGGGTAACATATATTAATCCTGTGTCTGGTGGATCCCAGGAAGTCTGGGGGTAAGGCGGTTTCTAGGAGAGATTCCAGGGTAGCCAGGATGTTATGTTGTGGTGGGGGGAGACAATCAGAAAGTGGCTAATGCAAAGTAGCAGTGCTATACTGACAGGCCTTCTGATATCGCTTTTCTATGCTGGATGAAAATTGTTACAATAAATAAGTTTCTTCTTTCCTTGAATGTATTCTTTCTAACAACTTAAATGGCAAATCAGTATACTGGATTTGTTAAAATTATAAATAAAACAAAAGTAAAGATGCCCTGAGAGAATGCCTGAGCATCTCCTATATGAGAAAAGGAAATATGCTTAGAGGTATTGTGGTTTTAATTTAGTTGCTATGCATTTTTGTTTGTTTTAAATTAATATAATTTGTTTCCTACAACAGTTTCAGATTTACAGAAAACCTGATCAGAAAGTGCAAAGTTCCCAAATATCCAATGTCTTTCCGCTGACTCTATTATTAACATCTTTGATTAGTGTGATACATTCATTATCATTGATGGCTAATATTAATACATAATTATTAACTAAAATTCATAGCTTATATTAGGGTTCACCCTTTGTGTTATACATACTATTGGTATTGACAAATGCATAAGGGCATGTATCCAACATTATAGTATCATACAGAATAGTTTGATTGCTCTAACAATCTCCTGTGCTCTACCTTTTCATCCTTCCTCTACTCCTTCCTTATTGAAACTTTGGCAACCATTGATCTTTTAAATTTCTCCATACTGTGGCTTTTTCCAGAACATCATACAGTCAGACTCATGTTTGTTTTTAATGTTTAATTCTCTGTTCTACATTTGTTCCAAATAGTCCAATTAAATAAACTTGATTATTACTTTTTAAATGTTTATTTATCTCCAGAGAGAGAGAGAGAGAGAGAGAGAGAGAGAAAGCAGGGCAGAGGGAACAGAGAGAGAGGGAGAGAGAGAATCCCAAGTAGGCTCCATGCTGTCAGCATAGAGCCCAACACAGGGCTTGATCTCATGAACCATGAAACCATGATTTGAAATCAAGAGTCAGATGGTTAGCTGACTGAGCCATCCATGTGTGCCCAGACAAGTTAACTTTAGATAAGAGAGTCATTACTTTTTGTTTTTAAAAAATCTTTCCAGTCTATTTCTTTAGCAAATTCTTACTACACACATCACCAGAAGCAAGAGAAACAAAAGCAACAATGAACTATTGGGACTTTATCAAGATAAGAATTTCTGCAAAACACAGGAAACAATCAACAAAACTAAAAGGCAACCTATGGAATGGAAGAAAATATTTGAAAATAACATATCTAATAAAAGTTTTGTATCCAAAACCTATAAAGTACTTACCAAACTCAATAGCCAAAAACCAAATAGCCCATTTAAGAAATGGGCAGAAGGCATGAATAGACACTTTTCCAAAGTGTCCATCCAGATGGCTAACAGACACATGGAAAGCTATTTAACATCACTCATCATCAGGGAAATACAAATCAAAACTGCAATTAGATATCACTTCAGCCCTGTCAGAATGGCTAAAATTAACAACTTAAGAAACAACAGATGTTGGTGAGGATGTGGAGAAATGGGAATCCTCTTGCACTGTTGGTAGGAATGCACACTAGTACAGTAATTCTAGAAAACAGTGTGGAAGTTCCTCAAAAATTAAAAATAGAATTCCACTATGACCCAGCAATTGCACTGGTAGGAATTTATCCAAAGGATACAAGAGTGCTGACTCGAAGGGGCACATACACCCCAATGTTTATAGCAGCACTATCAACAATTGCCAAATTTGGGGAAGAGCCCTAATAGCCATCAACTGATGAATGGATTAAGAAGAATGGACTAAGAAAACTCCACAATAGAATACTACTCAGCCATGAAAAAGAATGAACTCTTACCATTTGCAAAAAGAGTACAGAGAACTGGAGGGTATATCATGCTAAGCAAAATAAGTTAGTCAGAGAAAGACAGATATCACATGATTTCACTCATATGTGGAATTTGAGAAACTCAACAGATGATCATAGGGGAAGGGAAGGAAAAATAAGATAAAAACAGAAAAGAAGGCAAACCATAAGAGATTCTTAAATACAGAGAACAAACTGAGAGTTGATGGGGGTGGAAGGGTAGGGGATGAGCATTAAGGAAGGCACTAGTTGGGATAAGCACTGGGTGTTATATGTAAGTGATGAATCACTGGATTCTACTTTTGAAGCCAAGACTGCAATGTATGTTAACTAACTTAAGAATTAAATACATACACATACATATAAAAATAAATTAAAAAAAAGATGTTTGCTATACGTTCCTCAAAAATTCTCTTTCAGATGAAAAAAGATCACTTCTGTTTCTACTTCGCTAAGAAATTTTATCATAAGCAGATGTTAAATCATCTTTTGAGATAATTGTAAGTCTTTTCACTTTACAATGTTAAAAAATGCATATATTTTATGGAATTAGCTCTACGTACAGTATGTCTTCTGTAATTGATTACTAATATTTTTAGCATATTTCCATATATTTATAAGTGATCAGTTGACAATTTTACTTACCATTTGTCATCATCTGATTTTGATATCTGGATTATACAACCTCACAAAAATGTTTAGAGATACTTGCTTCTTTTCCTAGATTTTCTAAGAGTTTATAATGTAGCAGGGGGATTTTCCATTTTACAAAGAAGTGTTAGGATTCATACATATTCTGTGTGTGGGATGGGGAAGGAGGGTACATTCTCAATGTATATTCTCATTTCACTTATTATTTTCAAGTAAATAATAATGGTTGTAAATACATTGCGATTTTTTAACATTTTTATTTCTTCTATTTTTGTTCCTTCTATTCCTTTGCTTCCAAAAAAAATACTGCGATGTACATTATTTTTTCATTTTTTTGGTCATTAACTCACTTCTGTTTCTTATTTTTCACTTATAGGTTTTGCTAGAAATAGCTAATTCATTAGTATTTTTGAAGAACCAGTTTTGGGATTTATAGATCCTCATTATATATTTCTTCTGCTTCAGTATTAAGTTCTATGCTTATTATTACCTTTGTTCAATTCTTCCTGGATGCCTTTAAGGCTACAGCTTTTCTATATAGATGTTGTACATTAATTTTTATATAGAGTCTTATTATCTTACATTCTAAATTATTTAAGAATTAATATTCAAATACAGGGTGTGTATTACAGTTGTAATACTGATATCTAGCTTAAATGTAGACAGAAAGCAAGGACTATATGCTACTGGTATTTTGATATTATGTGAGAATTGTTTTGTGACCCTACAAGGTATTGCATCTGATAAATAGAGAATATACATTTTAATAAAATGTTCAATATAAAAATATACCTTCCTTGTTAATGAGTGCAGCATTTTCTATACATGTCCAATAGATCAAACTGGAAAACTGTGTAGCTATAACTTTATGCATTGTTCTTTATATTTTCTGTTAATTATTGAGACATCTTAAAGTTTCTCATATGATTTGTATTTATTAATTACCCTGGTAATACTATCAAATTTTTCTTTGTGTATTTTTAGTCCAGTTAGTTTCATGCATTCATGCATTTGGAGTTGCTATATCTTTTAGATTTCTATATAGAATACATAGAACAATTATTTTTTACATCTTCTTTATCCCAAATTTTTCTTCTAAAGTCTTCCTTCCCACTTTACCTCTGATATTAATATAATTACTCTATTTTTCTTTTGCTTAGTATTTGTCCAATACATATTTTCCCAGCATTGCATTTGCTTTTGCCAGGCATCCCAGGGGCATCTCTGGCTCAGGGACAATCTGTATGCAAATTTCTTGGCTTGGAGTTTCTGTACTACAATAGTAGTGGAAATTCTAAGCTCGAGTTTTTGATTTCTAAAAACAGATTTTTTTTTTCATCCAGAGCTCAGATAGAAGAAAGCTTTCCTCCACCAGTATGTGAATTCCTTTCTAGTCTTCCTACTAGCATCCCATGGTCCTGCTTTTATGTAGGGATGCTAGTTACAACTCCCTGCTCCCTATAGGCATATAACTATGTCTTCTATTTGCATGTGAATGCTATATTCCCACTGTAACTTATCAGAATCTATAACTTCCCAATACCAGGCAACCATAGGGTAAATTCTTTTGTTTATTTCTCTGATTTTTCGTTCCATCTTTATATTTGCTTCTGGATATTTGACTTTCTTTCTTTTTAATGTTTATTTATTTATTTTGAGAGAGAGAGAAACACAGAGAGAGAGAGAGACAGAGAC